TCCCTCCCTCACCCGCCCTCCCTCACAAACCCTTGATAAGTTATAGATTATTATTTTCCTATCTTACGTTGTCCTCCATCACTCCTCACCCACTTTTCCGTTCTTCGTCCCCTGGGAGGGGGGTACAGGTTGATCCTTGTGATTGATTTGCCCTTTCTCCACCTACCCTCCCCTACTCTCATTGTTGGCCCTGAGGGGTTTATCTATCCTGAATTCCCTGTGTTGTTGGCTCTTATCTGTAGCAGTGTGCATGTTTTGGTCTAATCCAATTTTTAAGGTGGGATTGAGGTCATAGTGGGGGGAAGGAAGCACCAAAGAACTAGAGGAAAGTTGTGTGTTTCATCGGTGCTATACTGCACCCTGACTGGCTCATCTCTTCCCTATGGCCCCTCTGTGAGGGGATGTCCAATTGCACAGATGGGCATTGGTTCTCCATTCCATTTCCCCCTATCCCCTGGCCCCATCACATTGGGTATGATTTTGTTCTGGGTCTTTGATGCCTGACACCTGATCCCATCCACACCTCATGATCACACAGGCTGGTGTGCTTCTTCCATGTGGGCTTTCTTGTCTTTTTAATGACCTTTTGCTTTCTTTTTGAATGATATTCCATCAGCCCTGTCATTCGTGTTCAATGCATTAAATATGTTTTGAGATGTACCTGAAATTCAGGTAGGATAGACTCAAAATTGTATTTTGGCTCTCATGGACTTGTGTTTATTTTCTTCAGCTTCATCCTGAGCTTACATATGAACAATTGGTGGGTCTGTATGACAGTCAGCCCCTGATCTGGTTTTAGCTGCTGATACTGAGCGTCTCCATCATGTCTTCCCACAGATGTAGTCAATTTGCTTTCTGTGTATTCCATCTGATTATGTATATAATCACCTTTTGTTTTCTCGATAAAAGATATTTGCTATGAACAAATTGTTGGTGTTGAAAATTCTGTCATGCGATCTCTGGCTTTGTTGCTAGCACCAAGTCAGCGTTGTCCAACTACTGCACCTTTCTCTTTGTTTCCAACTTTTGCATCCCAATTGCCAATAATTATCAGTGCATCTTGCTTGCATGTTTGATCAATTTCTAACTGAAGTTGTTGGTATAATTGTTCAATTTTTTCATCACTAGCTTTTGTGGTTGGTGCAGATATTTGAATAATAGTTGTATTGATTAGAGTTCCTTGAAGATGGATAGATATAATCTTATCTCACACAACCTTGTACTTCAGATTGGTTTTCCAAGATAGTTTTTGACAATGAATGGCACACCATTTCTCTTGATTTATCTTATTCCTAGCAAAATAAATTGTATGATTTTTTAATTCAAAATGGCCAATACCAGTTCATTTCAGCTCATTAATGCCTCAAATATCAATCTGATGCGTTTCATTTTTAATGACTTCAAATTTTGCTACATTCATACTTCACACATTCCAAGTTCTGATCATTAGCAGATTTTTGTAGTTGTTTTTCTTACTTTGAATTATGCCCCATCAGGAAATGAAGATTCCAAAGGCTCCACTCCTACAGGCTTTACCCGACTCACGACACCATGGTCTACTCCACTTAGAGAAAGCAGCTCCTCCTCAGTTCCATGTCAAGTGCCCTCTGACCCTAGGAACCCATCCTCAGGCACTGTCTCTGACCATGTTCTGCATCTATTCCTTAGATCTTCAGTATCTGACCATGTTTCAGTGCTACACATAAAGTTTTCAGGGGCTCCTTCCTCCAAAGTGGAAGCTGAGTCTTTATTCCTTGTTGTTAGTCTGGAAGCTCTGCTGGAACCTGTTCACTTTGGGTGGCCCTGCAGGCATTTGAAATCCCAGTGACTTAGCTTCCAGCGCCACAGCAGCACATAAGCCACCACAGTACAACTACCTGACAGACTCTTGGTGGGTTCATTTTATAGGCCTACCTTTTGGTTGTCTGCAAAGTGATCTCCAAGAGTGGATGAAGTTTTAAATTTGAAGGATGGCCAAGAGTCAAAGATTTGGAGATCCTACCAGTCTCTGTCAGAGCAGTAACTCTGGTCTTCTTTATGAATTTGAATTTTGCTCTCTAGTTTTCTCTCACTCCTACTGGAACCTTCTGTTGTGGTTCTGGCGGGAGGAGTTGATAGTGGTAGCTGAGTAATATCTAGTGACTTTATAGTGGATAACTAAAGTAGAGTCGACTCAACGACAGAGAATTTGGTTCATGGTTTGTTTTTTGTTTATAGAAGGATGTTCACTTGTTCTCTCCCCCTATGTTTCTGTACCTTTTCTGCTCTCTATAGACACCACACAAAAGTAATTAGGATTAGGACCTTATTAACAAAACAAAAGAGAACCCAAACAGTATCCAAAAGAGATCCAAATAGGATCAATTCATATTTACAGGTATAGGGGTTAGGGCTTTTCTTTTTGTGGGGAACAAAATACGATTTATAATGCTCACTGTTCTTTTCTAGGTTAAGTTCATTTTGAGACCCATCTGGAAGGCAGCACAGTATAGCTTAAGGAAATTCATACTGATTAATGATTTTTTAAAATTTTTTCTCTTGAGTCTGGAGTAGAAGATTTGAGCTTTGCCCATGGATTATTAATGGAGCTAACAAGAGCTTACCTAGCATATGCAGATAACAGTCGGGCTCAAGATTCAGCTGCATATGCCATCCAGGTAAGCATATTTAGCAATTATTAGCTTTACATTATTAAGTTCTAATAAGAAAGTTATACATTTTATGCTTAAGGCAAACCAAACAAGTTATCCTTGACAATTGACAAAATTTTCCTTGATTCAGATTCATGGCATCCCCATGTGTTTCATGCTATTACCTTTTACCCATAGGGCATTTTAAATCACTATGATTTTTCTAAAGTGAATTGCCAAGCTCGTTTTTTTGGAGACACTTCTGGATATTATAATTTGAGAAAATTCTGCCAATTTCCAGTAGAGCTGTGTACTTACCCATCTTCACTACTCAGGGACTGACTCTAAGTTCTATACTTTTTTTTTTTTAAGTCAATGCTGTAGAGTCAATTCTGACTCTTTTTTAAAATCATTTTATTGGAGCTCTTACAGCTCTTACAACAATTCATACATCAGTTGTACCAAACACATTTGTACATCCACTGCTATCATTATTCAATTATTACTCTTAACAACCTATAAAGGGTTTCTGAGGTGGGAAATCTTTGTGGGAGCAGTCAGCCTTATCTTTCATCTACAGAGTGGCTGGTGGGTGTGAACTGCCAACCTGGAAGTGAGCAGTCCCAGCACTTCCCCAACACAGCCACCAGGGTTCCTCAATTAGATGCTTAAGGAAATCATATTTTTTAACAATTACCTTCAGTATAAAAACAATACAAGTTCATGAAAAAAAGTTCAGAGAGAACAAAAGTGTCCATTCTTAGCACAGACGATTATGGACATATTCACAAATTTCCATTGTATATAAAAGTATATGCTCTTTTCCATTGAAGACTGATATAAAATTAGTTACTATATTTTATAAATTGATTTTCTTTTCTGCCTGTTTGCCAATCTTGGGTAGTTTTTCTTGGCAGTACATATAACTATTCTTTTAAATAAGTGAATAATATTCAGTGATGTACTATAATTTATTTACCAAGTTTTTTTAGACATTTAGGTTGTATTTAATGGTTTGCTTTGATGAACAAATACTTCAGTAAGTATACGTATATTTCTGGCGAAGTAAGGGAAAACACGAATTGTATACCTACATAGAAATTTAATTCAGTCTCAGCAAATGCAGGATTTATATTTGGTAGATTTTACTTTTAAAATTTCACCAGCTTATACTCCCTTGATAGTCCTATCTATTTTCAGATTTTAAAATCTTTGCCAAGCAAGCAAATAAAAACTACCAGCACTTCAGTTTAATTTGCATTTTTTTTTATTTGTTGCTTTTTTTTTTTGCACATTTTCCCACTATGACTATTACCTTTTCCCACCTCTTACATTGGTCTATTATTTATTGCGACTCAAGATCTTATTGAGTATGATGGAAACTAGTTCTTTGTCTATTATTATAAACTATTAGCTATTTTTTCCAATTCTATTTTCTGTTTTTTTCCCCCCCTGATATTTTGTTATGGAAAATTTATGCGTTTTGTTGAGAATTTGTTCTAGAATTCATGGTGAGCAATCAAGGCTAGAGATAGAAATATGCTATCCATAGTACCTTGCAACAGTATTCTCTAGGGAGTTTCAGTAAAGGACTGAGGTTTCCCTGGGCCAGCTATACTCATGTGCATCTATCGCTCTAGCCTGGTACCTTCATTAGGAAGCCTGCTTATTGAAGGCTTCACCTTAAGCACTTCCTACCACCTCCTACAAGACCTCGTTTTAACAGAGGACCTTGGCTGAGGCACTCTTCTCTATTCTGACAGTATTTTACTACTCGTTATCCTCACCCCTGACTCCCGAGATTGTAAATAGAGCTCTTGTTCAGGTCCCCTGAGCAGTGATTCAGTTCCACTCATCTGTGCTCCATGTCACGTGGCCACCAGCCAGTGTTGCTCATTGGGGAAAAATGGGACCCTGCCAAGGTGATGCCTTTTACTTTTGCTTTTTGCCTTCATCCTTCATTGCCACATTAATGAATGATGACTTTGTTACTTTCAATTGGCTATTGTCAACACCTGACAGCTCAACCAATGTCCCTCTTTATCTCTGGTAATGGTTCTTGTTTGTTGTTTTAATGTTTGATAGTTATATTGATCTATATTTGAACACATTACAAAGAGTTGTGCAATCAGTAGTACAATCAATATTAGAATATTTTCTCCTTCCTTACATTCAATATTGTTAACTACACCTGCCAAAATCCACTTTATTATGCTCACTGTGTCATATTAAATCTGTTATCATTTTTGGATTATGGTCAGAGGGGATTCACCGGAGACTTTATCCAGGTAGAGACACTGCAAATGGATGTTGGGCTTCCACTATCATCTATAGTGTTCTGCAACAAAAATCATGTCATTGTGAATAAGGGGGAGTACGCAGTGGAGACCCATCTGTAGACCATTGGACATCCCCTTACAGAAGAGTCGTGGGGAGGAGATGAACCAGTCAGGGTGCAGTATACCACCAATGAAACACAACTTTCCTCTAGTTCTTTAATACTCCCCCCCTGCACTATCATGACCCCAATTCTTTGTATATAAAAGTATATGCTCTTTTTTTAATGAAGACTGATATAAAATTAATTACTGTATTTTATAAATTGATTTTCTTTTCTGCCTATTTGCCTATCTTGGCTAGACCAGAGCATGTACCTAGCTAGACCAGAGTATGTACCTGGCTAGAGTGGACTACAAAGGAAACATTAGCAGATTTACAGAACTGAAACACCCTTGGATATCCCAGGTTACAGATTTGGAGGTTGGACCTTGGCTGTGAGTGAACCCAGTAAATGGCAGCTTGGGAGTGCCATAGATTTTCTCTCTTCATTCTCTCTTAACTTTTTTTTTAATAAGATTTTTCAGTCTAGCAGGTATTGAAGGTACCTAATGAAGGTACCGGGCTAGAGATATAGATGCACATGAGTATAGCTGGCCCAGGGAAACCTCAGTCCTTTACTGAAACTCCCTTGAAAATACCGTTGCAAGGTACTATGGATTGTATATTTCTATCTCTAGCCTTGATTGCTCACCATGATATGGCTAGAACAGAGCATGTACCTGGATAAGAGCTGGAAACACAGGGAATCCAGGACAAATAAACTCCTCAGGACCAATTATGAGAGTAGCCATACCAGGAGGTATGGGGAAGGTGAGTGTAGAAAGGGGGAACTGATCACAATGATCTATCTATAAACCCTTCCCAGGGGGATGGACAACCGAAAAGTGGGAAAAGGGAGACATTGGTCATTGTAAGACATGAAAAAATAATAATTTATAAATTATCAACGGTTCATGGGAGAGGGAGGGGAAATATGGGGAGCTGATACCAAGGGCTCAAGTAGAAGGAAAATGTTTTGAAAATGATGATGGCAACAAATGTGCTTGACACAATGGATGTATGTATGGATTGTGATAAGAGTTGTACGAGCTCCCAATAAAATGATTTATTAAAATTTAAAAATATATATGGTTCTATAAACTGAGGATTAGAATTTAAGCTTTAATACTGGTAGTTCTCTCCTCCAGATTTGAATTGTATTATTTACAATCCTTGGATCACATAGGCTGGTGTGCTAGCTTCTGTATGGACTTAGCTGACCACCTCTCTTAGATTGCTACTTGTTTTAAGACCATGTTGGTTTTTTTTTAAGACCCCAGTAACGATTCTTTCTAATAGACAAACCGTATTTGCTTTTCTCAGCACACTTTTATTTAACCCTGTATCTTCAGTGATCTTTAAATGAGCGTAGGTGTGGAGTAGAGCCGTGTCATAAGAATTGATTGTTCTTGGATTAGGGCTATGATTAACTGTGAGCTCATCAATCCAGTCCTGCATCTATGGTTTATTTATGTTTACATATGTAACTTTAGAGACATCATTTTCCTTTTATTTGAGAAAATGATAAACCACATCCCTATAGAGCATATGGTAATTCTACTGAAAATATCATTAATTGAGCCATTGTTACAGAATTCCAAATGCTGTTTAGAAAAAGAAAGTACATATATGTATGGGCCAAATATATTAAATAGATTTTTGAAAATATGGATTGTTGACCTGTAAAGATTAGAAACTGAAGTGACTGGACACTAGTCATGTAAAAAATTGAAGGTTGAAGATAGGGCAAAACTGTCAACAACGTTCATTCATAAAGGCAGAACAAACCCGCTAGACTAAAAAAATGTTATTAAAAAAAGCATGAAAAGAGAAAGTCTATGGCACTTCCAAGCCGCCATTCATTGGGTACACTCAAAGCAAGAGATCCAAACCAAGGTCCAACACCCTCCAAATCTGTAACTTCGGGATATCCAAAGGTGTTTCAGTTCTGTAAATCTGCTAATGTTTCTTTGAAAGTCCACTCTTGTTTTCTTTTGATTAGTGTTTAAATGGGATGTCTTTTTCTTTTTTTTTTAACTTTCAATCTGTTATTATTGTTTTCTAACTTTTCATTGTGAATTTGGTGCGTTTCCTGAGCAAATCACTTACTCATATATATGTTCAATAACTCATATATTTTGTTTCATGTCAATTATTGCAATACCCACAATAGAACATAATTTATCCTACATCTCCTTGTGTTGCCTGCTTCCATCCCTACATTTTTCTTAACCCTCTCAAGTTTGTCCTTGGGCAAATGCTGCCCTTTTATCTTAACCTGGATAGGCCTCTGTATGGTTTGGCTGAAAAATGAGCCCTGGGGGTAAGTTCAGTTCCAGGTCTGAATTGTATCAATGGTCATGGTCTTGGGATTTCAGTAGTCTCTAACCAACCAGTAAGCCTGTTTGTTCAAAAACAATAAGTTTAGCTTCATGTTTTTCTTCCACACTATTCAGGACCTTCTTATATGATCTCTTTGATAGTAGTTGGTAGTGGTAGCCAGGCACTTTAACCCCAGGAGCTACTTACCAGAGTAGGATGTAGAATATTGGCTTTGTGGATTATGTATTAGCAGTTGACTTTGGTTTCCTTGGGGCCATGGCTCTCAACCTCCAGGCCCAGGGACTCAATCCCTCATGGGGTCTGGTTATGTCTACGAAGTGTTTATAACTTTGCTCCCTGTATGCTTCACCATATTTAGGGATATTTGCAGCATACGTAAATACACATGCAGAAATACCCTGTCAAACTTATATGTATTTGTGGGTTTCCTCCCATTCTCCCACAGCTTAAGACCCCTGGTTTGTGTCTGTAACAGTATTTACCTCTGTTGCTTTAGCTCTTGTACTCCTCCCAGTGCCTTCCCCTAACTATCATTTTTTGCTGACCTCCCTTTTGTTTCTGTTGCCTTCTAATTCACCCAAGTTACTGTGTGTGTCCACTAGTTAACAGTTCACCCTTCCTTTCTTTCCTACCCCAGGTAACCATCAAAGAGTGTTTCATATACTGTGAAAACTTTTTCCTGACTTTCTGTAATATCGATCTCATATAATATTTGTCCTTTTGTAATTGAACGATTTCACTCAGTAGAATGTTCTCTAGGTTCATCCCTGCTATGAGGTGTTTTGCTGTAGTTTATTTATTCATTCTTCTATTGACAGGCATTTAGGTTGTTTTCCATCTTTTTGCTATTGTGAATAGTACTGTGGTAAACATGAGTGTGCATATTATCTGTTCATGTCATGGCTCATATTTCTCTAGGATACATACTAAGTAGAGGGATTGTGGGATCATCTTTCTATTTTCCACTGTGGCCACAGCATTTCATCATTCCACTACACTTGGCAACATTTTTTGTTTTCTTAATCAGCAAAGTGTTTTTTGTAAATAGCATATGATTAAGATACACTTTTTAATATCCAAACTGTCTCGGCTTTTAATTGTTCTGTTGAAATAATTCAATCATTGATACGGTTGTATAAAAATAATAGCATCTTGGTGGTTGTTTCTATCAGTTTCTTTTCTGTTTGAACCCATTGTTGCAGCCACTGTGTCACTCCAGCTCCTTGATGGAATTCCTCTTTTCCGCTGTCCTTCTCCTTGACCAAGCATGATGTCCTTTTCCAGGGACTTGGCTCTCCTGATAACATGTCTAAAGTTAGTGAGATGAAATCTCACCAATTGTGCTTCTAAGTTGCATTCTAACTATACTTCTTCTAAGAGAGATTTGTGTGTTCTTTTGTTTGTCCTTGGTACTTTTAATAGTTTTCCCCCGTACATAATTCAGATACATCAATTTATCTTTGGTCTCCCTTATTCAAGGTCCAAATTTCACGTGCAAATAAGGAGACTTTAAGTACAATGACTTGGTATTTTCCAATTGGTTGCTCCTCCAAATGCTTCTCAGTCTTTTTTTTTTTTTTTTAACATTTTATTAGGGGCTCATACAACTGTTATCCAATTCCATACACACATCAAT